AAAGAAAGTTTTACGTTGGGATAAAGCAACATTTAATTTATGAAATTTGCTATGTTTTATCTAATTGATTTTTAACCTTTTTTTCACATTTATTTCTGAATTGAAGAAACAATATAAATGTAGGAATGTATAAAATATATAATAAAAATTATTAATGTATCAATAAAAGGAAACTTAACACGATATAAGTACGTGATATAAACATTAACAAGACATAACCATATAAATATTTTGAAATTTATATAATATAAATCATTATTTAAAAATTACATTGGATAATAATTTTAAAAACAACAAGATAGTGAAAAACTCTATTGGTTTTTCTTCTTCAGAGTTTGTGTCATTTTTTATAGATTAGGTTAATCTTTTTTTTATTTAGTTGACGATAACACTGATTTCGATGTTGATTATTGATCACTGGTTCTCTTTTCTATTTATTTCTTTTTAAATTTTTTTAATAAAAATAATTTTATCTTTGTTGAACGTTTTTCTCTGCCTTTGTACTTAAATTTAACTTAAAATATAATTTGGTACTTCAATTTTTATCCAATTAGATATAAAAATTTATTTATTTTTAAATTGATATTTGAATTTGACTTATTAATTTAAATTGATTACATTTTAAATTTTTATTTACATAAAATAATAAAGTTTATGTACCAAAGTGAACAAAAAATTCAAATTCATTTGCCCAATTAAGAGAAAAAATTAAGTATCAAATTAAAACTATCAATACACATAATTATTCATGTACCAGTAGAAGATTCAATAGTTGTAGCGATTCATTCGTCCTTAATCCTAAAGAATAACTCCCAGTTGAAAAGGTTCTCGAACAGCTGTCCAGATATCAATATCTTTGACTTCTTATTGAGAAGTATAATAAGTTATTTTATATAACATAAATAATTATTTTATATATACGGTAAATTATAATTGTGATACAAAATATATACTTGTATAAAAATTGTAGGATATCGGTGAGAGTGGGGGAGGGTGGCGCGGCCGGTCGGCGGGCCAGCTGCCCCTGGCCGGCTCCTCACATCACATGCGCATTGGTCAACCATTAAAGCTCATTGCTTTCGGAAAATGTTGTTTTTGCATCTTCCATGCTTTAGTTTTCCCCACAAGCAATCCCCTTGCCTTTGACGCCTGTAGTTTTTTAAATTAATAAGAATAATTAATTTTATTAAATAAATAAAAATTATAATAAAAAGTTTTGTTTATTTTTAACGCGAGTGATCAAAACAGAATCAAAAAGTAAAATTGTATATGATTTTAATAAAAAAAATAGTTTAGTGACAAACAAAATCGCAATAATAGATGAATGACTAAATATATAATTTATCCTAATAAATATTTAAGATAAAATTTAGAATATTTAAATTCAAAATTGGATTTAATCAGGAATTGACCGGGGACATGTAAGAGGAGAGCCCCTCCTGAAAATTTAAGTTATAATATATTTAAAATTTTTATGTATTTTTTTATTGAATTATGTTTTTATGTCCCATAAATTTTATAAATTTGTCTCCCCCTAAAATTTTAAAAATTCGTCTCTTAATTTAAAATTATACGCGGATTCTTAATTATAATACCATTATGGATATTGACTTTAAGAAAAGAGAGAACAATGGTGGGTGGCTTCCACTACCATAATTCCATCATAAATTTGCACTAATACTCTACTTGTATTCCATGTAACAATTTTATTTTATTGGTCTAAGTATAATCTTTAAAAACAATTTATGTATACATATACCCATATGAGTACACAATACATTTACAATGAATAATAAATACATGTTTGTAAAGATATAATTAATTTAATTGTTGAAAGTTCACTATTTTAATGAGTGAGTGGTATTAACATCTTTTGTTTAAGATTCAAATCTTATCTTCTCTAGTAATTATAGAAAATATGATGATTATTAGAATAAATCAGAGATAATTATACAATATGTTATCAAATTATGTCCATCATTTTAAATTTTAAAATATTATATATCAATCGTCAAACTACCAAATCGTTCCACTTTGATTATTTCGTTTAACTCTATTGATTAAAGAAACTAATATATTTTTGAAGGTTACGAGAATTAAACTCGTGACTTAAAAAATTCTTATGACCTTCAAAAACAAAATATCTTTTAGAAGGCCATTGTTATACCTGTAGAGGTTCTCCTCTACGAGCAACACCTATGTTATACCTCCAAAGATACTTTTTCACAAGCAACACAAATAGTATATTTATAGATATATTCCTCCGCCAACAATAACCTCTCCATTTATCACAGCTTTCGAGGGAATTATTCTATAAGAAGAAACCTTCAGGGGGTCTCATATTTGTTGCCCAACCATAAACACTTGACAATATATTAGTAGACTACAACATCAAATATCTAATAAGTGGTCATATTCATATACTTTGTCAGTCTACGAATAACCATGATAATTCTAGGCTTGACATCAACATTATGGGTCGATATTTAAACTCCATTGCAAGACTAAAAGAGAGATTGGACCTTCTAAACTATTCATCATTTGCCTCACTCTTCCTTGACCTAACATCTTCTACACTCTCCTAAAAAAGACCAACTAAGACTCTTTGTTTAAATCAGAATGGGTGAACCACCTACGGCTACTAAGACCCCCATTGTTCACATTAACACCCGTGTTCATTTCTTAAGACCTTCAAAAACAAATTAATTTTTTTAGGTCACGAGTTCAATTCTCAAGACCTTAAAAAAATTACTGGAGTCAATGACACGTTAACAGAAGGATAAAAATATAACAACACTGATAGTTTGAGGATTGGAATAAAATGTTCTAAATTTTAAGGATTAATTTAGAATAAAGTTCATAGTTTAAGGACCAACGTAAAATATTTCAAAATTTAAAGATCAATTTAACGTTAGATAAGGCCTTAGGGACCTCCTCCTCTGGAATTAACTCAATAAATTAAAACATTGATAACAAAAATATATTTAAATTTATACTATAATATATAAAGTAAAAAATTCATAATTATACTAATTGAACTAAATCCCATAAATTAATTATATTATTCAAACAAGATATCATAAATCGAAAAAAAATATTGATTTTTAAAAAATAGATAATGAATTGTTTATAGAATTAGAAGAGTATATTAAAATTAATTCAAAACTATTAATTTAAGATGACGGATGAGATCATTGCTCATACGGGAATTATCCCATTCCTTTCACAAATGTGTAGAAGTCACTCAAAAATATAATTTTATTTTTATAGTTGTACTCTCACGCGTTTTGTGTTGTTTATTCATTTTATTTATTAATTGCTATTGAATTATACATGTTATTCATGTCTAAGAAAATATATATTATTTTTTATATTTATTAATATTCAATTTATTGATTGAGTAATCTTAATTAGGTATAAAGTCTCATTATACCGACGACTTTTTAAATTCAATTTGCTTCATTGATAATATTATGATTCAAAATATTAACATTATATTTTATTTATTAACTGATTAATCTAGATTAAATATTGTAACGGTTCATTACGTGGTAACCCTTTCAATTTAGTTTGTTCTATTCATATTGTATGATTCGAATACTTGATCTTATTTAAGAGATTCAATATATAATCCCACTAAATAAATTGATTCAATCTTATATTATATTTAAAAATAATATTTCAACAAAAAATTTAACAGGACACAATGAAAATAATTTATATAGTAATATATTTGATAATGTATTTAAATTTTTAGTATATTTAATAATTTAAATATGTGTAGTATTATTATATGAAAAAATACGACACGTGTATCCATACATATTAAATATATAGTGACATTTATATTTGTATTTTTGTACAATTTTCAACCTTCACCAATTGATTAACATTGATCATTTTTAAAAGGTAATACAATATAGTTATTTCTTTTATTTTTTAACTTATATCACCTAATTACATTTTTATTTAGAATAGTAGTATTTTTTTTTACAAAAATAAATTTTGTTTAAACCGATCTAATTTAGATTCTACCCTATAAATTCTAGTAAAAAAATCTATTTCAAAATTCAATTAAAAAAATAACTCTATCAAATTATATCATATCAAAATTGGTCAATTTCATTTTTTTACCATCCTAATTTTCAATAATAACTCAAGTTATAATATAAATTCGAATTAAATCTAAATCTAACAAAACTCATTAACAAAACTAATATAATTTATAATAGGATAAACTGTACGTTTAATACACAACCATTATTTTTGTTTTGTTTTGATAATCCAACTATTATTTTTTTAAAATCATATATAACATTACATTTTTGTTTCGTTTTGATCACTTTTCGTCAAAAAAATAACAGAACTATTGACATGAAATTTTCTTATTTTTTTCAATGATAACGTGACATTACTTTATGATGACATTTCAGAATCATCGTTAATGTTTTAACGGTAGGTGACCAAAATGAAACTAAAATGTAACGTTAGATATGTTTTTGATAAAAAAAAAAGTAGTTAGATAGCTAAATGGAACAAATATGATAGTTGAGGTACTAAATGTGTAGTTTACTCTTTATAATAATATTTTCATTTTTATTTCTCAAAATTGCTTTAAAAGTGGGGTCCAATTAAAAAAAACCAACTATCACGTCTTCTGTTCCCAACTATTGACGACTTCATTTGTCTTTGGCCAACAAACTTTGTAATGTTAAGCCTCTCTTTTTCTCTCTTCTACCATCACTTTTTCTTATTTCTTTTGAAGCTTCCCTGCTCTATTTTTCTTTGTTTTCACCTGATTTTCCCAGTCTATAATGTCTGCACATTCCCAGTTTTCTTCATGAAGAATTCAAGGGTCGGTGCCAGATTAAAGCCATTATTTTCTTCCTTTTCCTGGTTGTCCAAACATGCCACCATCACCACCCACAACTTCACCTTCTCTTCTCTCTTTTGATTACTGTTATTTCTTATATTTCATTTTTTAATTTTTTTTACTCTGGTTTTTTGTTTGTTTGAGGGAAAGGTTTGTGCTAGATGCTAGCTTCTGAGGTCGAAGAATTTAAGTAGAAATTTCCTAAAAAAAGAAAAAAATCAGATTTGATTTGTTTTTCATCAGATTTTTTTAAAAAAATACTGTTTTGGGTGTTCATGGAAAGCTTGGTTCTTGGCTGCTTATCAATGGAAGAAGTGAGAATTTGTTTGTTTCAAGTAATTTGAGATATGGCATTCAAGGAGAGTTCTTTTTTTCTTTTATTAGAAATGACAAAAAAAAAAACTACCCAGTTTTTGAAGCACTTCAAGTACGTTAATTTTACAAAAACAGTATAATTCAGGCCTTTTTTTCATCTATGGGAATTCAGCTTTAGGCCATGCAAAAAGGCACAGTCTTCAAGGAGTTCACTGTATCAGAGACTTTGATCGCTTCCCCAAGTTGATGATTTTGCTTGTCTTTTTGTTGATTTCAAGAGCTCATCAATCTGTAATCTTCAGTTTCAGTTGATCTTTCCATTGAAGTGAAGATCCAAGAAAAAAGGGAGGGAAAAAGTAGTTAACAGTTTCCTTGAGGCACTGGTTTTAAGGCAAAAAGAAAGGTAGTTTAATGATACCTTGGCATCCAAAGGAAGGTTTTGCCCTTTGAAGCTTGTGGTTTACTCCCCTTTGGGGAAACTTGAGTTGTTGAAATTGATTTTTTAATTTTATTTTTTTAACCTTTTATGGTAATAACATATCAGCTGCCTTTTCTGTGTTTGTTGCTCTCCTCTAGTTCTTTCTGGTTTGGGGGTCTTATTTTTCTTCCTTCTCTTATCAAATCAATCAGTTCTCTGATTCTACATTTTTTTAGAGTTTATGTGACATTATTGGTCTATGATTTAGGTAGTGCATGAAGGAAATTAGTCATATTTGTGTAAGAAAAGGGCTTACAAGGGAAGGTTTTAGCATTGTTTAAAGAAAGTTATGAACTGATGTCTCTAAAACCTGATCTGTTGAAGGAATTGTCTGTTTTTTTTTTTTTTGCCTATCAATGTCTCTTCTCCAGTTTCTTGCAGATCAGTCATGTGATTCATTTGTTGTGAATGATGAATTTGTCTACAATTTCATGAATCCGACATGGTCAATTTTCAGTTTCTGGTTTGAACATGTAGCAAACTCTATGATTAAGATGTGCCCTTTTGCCTCCCTTGTTCTTATGTTGTATCTCTTCGTTATGTCCTAACTGTTGATTCTATCTGTTTATCAGATTCGGAGTCGGCTCAGCATACTATTTTTTGATTCCGTGAGCATTATAATCTCGTTTAAAGACTGTATTTATCATGGGGAAAAGATCGAATAGTCGCCCTCTTCAATATGAGAAGGATCAGTTGGGCTGTATATGGGGATTGATAACTATGTTCGATTTCCGTCATGGTCGAATGACTCAGAGACTGCTTTCGGATCGAAGACGTGAGAATGACGATGCAGTTGGTAAGTTCTGTAAGGAATTTAATAGCATTTTTTACTACAAGTGGATTTTTGCTTTGTTTGAGGTTGCAAAAGTGATTTATAAGCGGCCTTTCGGATTGTTCTTATAGCATTTATAGATTTTTTGGTTCGTTCATATCTTTATGTCCGAAATCTGTTTTTTATATGTAGTTAGAAATTTGATTGCTCGGACTTAGTTGTGAATGTCAGATACGAATACGCATTAGACAAGGCTATGTTCACATACCCATGTCTGAATGAGCGTTTCGTATAGGGTGCAAAATGAATAGTCGGAGCAACATTGGTTCTAAGCACTCTTTTAATTTTGCAGGTATGGGAAATTCAATAAATAAACTTGACGTGTCAACTAGTTTGGGTGAAGAGAAGGCAATGGCGACGGATATCTGTAAGCCTAGTGTGAAGGCACTCCTAGAAGAAGAAATGTCGAGAGAGCAAGTTACTAAGAAAGAAGCAAATAATACTGAACATGAAGCAAAAGAGTTTGGTTCGGGGGAAGGAGACAACAGAAGGAAGAACCGGAAAAGAAAAAACAAAACTCGCAAGAAAAGTTCCGGTAACAGTCTGGATGTCGATGCTGCCAAGAACTTGGCATTGGAAGTATCTTGTCAGCATAAACCCGAGCAACAACCTACAAACAGTCTTGATGTAGACAATCTTGTAGAGGAGTTTTGTCAGGAAATGGGTAAAAAACGAAATAATTGTGTGAATCATGATCAGCCTGCCGAAGACCATATGCAGCGAAGCCGGGAGAATTCCAGTTTTGAAGAAAGATTGAGTGAGGCTATTAAGTTCTTAGTAAGCCAGAAGCTTATTAACAGGAACCAACTTATGGAAGGTGGGGAACTCCAAGCCTCGAAAGAAGTAATGGATGCACTTCAAGTTTTGAGTTTAGATGAGGAATTGTTTTTGAATCTTCTTCGAGATCCTAACTCACTGCTGGTGAAATATGTTAAACACTTGCCGGATGCTCAAGATGAAGAGTCTAAGCCTCTTGCCGGATCTAACTTTTTAGAGAAGGAGCCTGTTGGTTTAAAGCAATCAAATGAACCTGTTAATAGAAAACAGCGGAATTTCTTTAGAAGAAAGTCCAAGTCTCAGGAAAGAGATTCATTGGAGGGAAATAAGGTTTCTGAAGGTTCCACTAGTATTGTAGTTTTGAAGCCTGGGCCGACATGCTCACAAACGCCTGAAACTGGAAGCAGCCGTGGCTCATTGCCGGAACCTAAACACATCATCAGACATCAAGAGCCGAATGAGAAAGTTGGTTCCCACTTTTTTCTGGCTGAAATAAAAAGAAAGTGGAAACATGCTATGGGAAGAGAGCAACATAGATTCCCCACCAATGAAATATCCAAAAGAGTTTCGGGTGAGCGGAGAAATCCAGGGGACGCTGGAGGATTTAAGGAATATATCACAATGAAATCTCCAACTAAAGACCATTTCTTTATTGAAAGAGTTGCCAAACCTTCCAGTACTGTCAAAAAAGGAGAGAGGGCAAGAAAGCTAAAGAACTCTGAAACGAGTATAGATTGTGAGACTAATTTTTCCAGGCATTCGAACATCTATATCGAGGCAAAGAAACATCTCTCTGAGATGCTAACAAATGGAGTCAATAATGTGGATCTTTCAAGCAGACAGGTCCCGAAAACCTTGGGGAGGATTCTTTGTCTCCCTGATTATAACTCTTCCCCTGTAGGCAGCCCTAGGAGGAGCTCAGAGCCTAGTTTTATAACTCCACAAACGAGATTTGCTGGCTCTGACAAATTCCTTAAAGTGGATGAAAACAATGAACTCAACAATGTCAGTCATACAACTCAAGCAGCTAAGGAACTGGAGATCCAGCTTTGCATTTCTGATCATAAAACCGGTGATGAAGTCCAAGGCGATGATATAGTTTCAGATAAACTCGACACTTTTGTGAATGATGACGGAGGGGATCAAAATGATCGTTTTACTAAAGACGAAACGAGTTGCGGAGGTATTATATTGCATCTATTGAATTTATGATGCAATCATGAATATTGAGGTTTATTAATAGTTCACCTTCATAAAAAATTATGCAGGTGACGTGAGTATTGTTAAAGAAACTGAAATGATTGTTCAGGAAGAAACTAAGACCTTGGATTCTTCTTATGGGACAAGTGACTCTTCAATTACTAGAGATGACAAAATTGTTGATGTATCTGAAGTTTGTGATGAAAAGCAATATCTGGAATGTTCTAAACAGGTAGCGTAACGTCATTTGCTCATGTATATATATTGTGATGTGAATTAAGTAGCTCATAGTGACGAATATTCGCAATGCTCGAAAAATAGACTTCTAATTATCTCGTCATTGTTCCATTTTGTTGTATGAACTGTACATGTTACGTCTCGCCTTACTGGTTTTATTTTTTATCTCCAGGAGTTGTCTGAAGAGGACCAACAGTCATTTTCTCCGTTACCATCTCCATCAAATTCGTCAGTCGCCAAAAAGGTTGAAGGTCTAGAGAGTGTTAGTGATGTACACGAGCGGCCAAGTCCCGTATCAGTTCTTGAGCCAATATTTGCAGATGATGTTATCAGCCCTGCTAGCATCAGATCAATTTCTGGTAGGCATTCGAGAAAAGCCTTATGTTTATTTCATATTCTGAATTTGTTTTCAACTTTGCTGTGCCACAGTTCGGATAATTCCAATTTTTTCACCAATCCTCAGGTGAAACATCCATCCAACCGCTAAGAATTCGATTTGAAGAACATGGTTCTTCAGCAAACCTCAGTAGGCGTTTTAAAACTTGTATGGATGATAAGGAATCGATACTTGAGCATGTAAAGGCAGTGCTACAAGCCTCAAGTTTCGACTGGGATGAACTATACATTAGGTCACTTTCTTCAGACCAGCTTCTTGACCCTTTGTTGCTCGATGAGGTAGAATACTTACCCAACCAACTTTGTCATGACAAAAAACTGTTCTTTGACTGCATTAACGAAGTTCTCGTGGAGGTATGTGGGTACTATTTTGGTTCCCCCGGCGTGTCATTTGTTAAAACTAACATCCGGCCTCTTCCGAACATGAAAAATACCATTGAAGAGATCTGGAATAGAGTTTATTGGCATGTGCTCCCGATGCCGCTGCCTCGCAGTTTAGACCAGGTAGTCAGAAAAGACTTGGCCAAGACAGGAACATGGATGGATCTTCAACTCGATGCAGATTTTATCAGTGTTGAGATTGGTGAAGATATCCTTGACGACTTAGTGGAAGACACTATAACATGCTACATAATAAGTCCTGAATGTGAATATCATGCTGGAGGGCTAGAAAAGTGACATCAACTTGTACAAGGCAACTGACTCGGTTTTGTTCATACTTACTCGAATAATGCCTCTCCAAAGTTCAGAGTGGGAGAAAAGCAAGCTAATCAAGTCCCAACAAGCGAGAAGGGATTCATTTAACTCTCCCTTCTAAGTCTTTTTATCAGATGCCACGACTGCGTTTTTGTAACCTTGCCACGTCGAATAACCATCAACCCGAAGATCTTACTAGTGACTTTAGGAGCTTCGCGTTTCATGTGCAGAGATCCATTGCAAAGCCAACGCCCGACTTCAGAGGCCTTTCTTGGTTTAGTTTAATCAATAACTAAACTGCACTGCAGTGTCATTTCGAAAACTGCTATATCATAGTAATTGAGTTTATAGAATTTAGTGTGTATTTGCTTGTGTGAATGGTGTGTTCTTTGATTGGCTTCATCCATTCCTAGGGTTTGGTTAACTGGTTTTCTTCCTTGTTATACGTGTTTGCTTGTGTATTTGGAGCTGTGAGTGTATACGAGTGAAGTGATTGACTACTTTGATAGATTTCATATGCCTGGTTAATATAAATATATATATGTATGCATGCATGTATGTATGCACATGTAGAAGCTATGATTGCTGAAAATAATAACACTGAACATATTGTAAAAAAAGCAAATATGAGGGTAAGTGCAGAACTATAACTCAGCTCTTTTATCCTTTTATTACCGAAGTTAATCGGAGTTTTGATATGTTACCTAATTCATCATCATGCCCACGTTGACAACTAAAACGCAGTCAAATGCCATGGGAAAACATGGTCCTATAAAAGAAGTACAGCCCATGAATTTATTACGAAATGTCAGAGCAACTAGACCCATAAAATTCAAGCCATTAACGGAAAAAAAATGGCCATCTGAAACGTTTTTCAAACAGAACCATTCATTTGGAACTCAATAAATAACACCATTGAATTACCTAAGAGAAGCCAGGCCAAATTTCACCTAATGCCCTGCTCTAATGAAGAGGCCCCAGAAGGGCATTTTCCCAAAAAAGAGGACAAAGGGAAACACAAGGACCAATTATAATGTAATTTCTCTAAAGAATCTTGCATATACTAATACATTGATCTAACGAACAAAAGCTTCAAAATTTCTTGCATATTTCCATTTGGGAAAAGTGTTTACAACTCATTAAATACAATAGAAAGTACGTAGCATTTTGCTACAATCAACCACTTAAGACAACAAGTTACTTCAGTTTTTTCTTTACCTGTAATTGTGAAGTTGGAGGAACGGCTCTCTTCCTAGAAAATGCACTACTTCTGCCATCTAAATCCTCATCACCATCATCTTCGTCAACCAGGTCTCTACCAGAAGGGGTAGTGGAGTCCTGGTTCTTGGATGCTTTTCTTTTTCCAGCACCCAACTTGGCAGATAGTTTTCTTGCAACAGGGTCATTAGAGAGTCCAACTTTCGATTGGCGCGGAACCTTTGCTTCGAGTCCAATCCTCTTAAAAGCCTATGAGAATGGTGCATGAATACATGTCAAGGCTATGTTAGAAGATAGTTACACTGACCTTTCTGGCCGAGCTTCTGGTTCTACTTCCAATACTTTTCATGTGCAGATCCATTCATTTTATTTATCCATTGTTCAGCCTGTATGTCACTCATGTCAATAATAAACCGATAAACTGATCGATGGTTCCCAAGAAAAAACAAACTGTGACTCCTCGACTCAGACATAACAGGAACTGCCAAGAGCACTAGATGCACTCCAGACAGTTGAACTTGTATAAAACATGAGACACGAGGTACAGAAAGAGCAGTCACTCGAGTGAAGCGCAGTATGTGTATTTAAGTGTTTTTGTATGCAAGTCTATGCATGCACATGGAATAAGATCAAGATGAATAATCATGATGATAAACTATAAATAGTGAGGCAATTAAATCCCACAAAACATGCTGAAAGTTTTCCTTTTCGTTTCTTGGCTAATATGCATGATTGTATTATGATCCCATACAAATGCATTAACAACACTAATCATGACACAATTATAACCAAAGCTTTCTTCTTTTTTCATTATGTTGATATCTACGAGTAGAAACTATGATCATAATCACAGAATTCTCAATAAATACAGCAAATTATTACATTCAGTATCCAAATGGAAAATAAAATCAACCAGTACATGGATTGAAGTAATCTAAAAACAACGTAGGACTTAAACCCATAGCTTCAAGACTCCAAGGTCTCCTTCAAACATCAATAATATAATCAAATCTCGACATCTCCATGTCATGTACTAGTAACGAAGCACTATATTTTCTTTCCAACTACCATACAATCCCAGCTGTTCAGACTTCAGACCTAAAATCTAAAAAAAAAAAAAATAGTAAGCTAATCATCGAAGACAATACAATCAATGATGAATAAGACTCTAACATAGAGACAAGTAGAAACACGGATCATCATTCATGACCTGTTTACTAAAAAACATGAAAATTCATTAACCATTACGATTAAAAGAGAAAACGAAAGAGATATTTACCAATTTCGATGAGTTATTCAGCGTAACTATTTTAGGAGGCCCAGGTTTCTTTGGCGTTTCCGTTGTCATTGGTCTATGTTCCAAGGGCTCGGCGGCACTTCAAAATGACGGCGGAAGTGTTCGGTCGGCACCGGCAATAGGCAGCTTGAATTCCAATTTGCTTACAAGTTTTTAGCCCCAAAACGAACAATAACAGTAACTGTCTTCGGCTTCTACTGGGTTTCTTTTCTTCTATCATAGAGTATATATATATATATATATATATTGGTACCTGAATTTGGCTTCAATATTCAATTTGGTACCTAAACATTTCTCTTATCCAATTAGGTACGTATAGAGCTGAGCACTGAAATCGAGAGAATTGAAAAATTGATTCTAATGGACTATGCGTTTAGGTTCAGGTTCTCATTTTGCAGTTGGTTTCGTATCGGTTTAACCATTAAATCTTCATAATTTGGTTCCATTTTTTTATTTTTAATGAAACTCATTTGTTTCCAATCAAATTATAATAAAAAATGATGTTCCCAATCAAACCCATTTTGAAGTCATTCTTTTTGTTGAATTTTGTTATAGGATAAATTTAAATGAAGAAACCCCTAAACCAAATAATATTAATTTTGTCAATTTAAATATGTGTTTTCACTTGATTTATGCTTGAAATTTGCTTTCTTTGGAGGCTGGATATAAAAAATGGTGAACAATTTAAAATATCAAACCAAACATAGTGAAAAAAAATTTAGTTTTTATCGCATTCGATTTTAGTTTCATTTTTAAAAAATCGCATAGTGCAATTCAATTCATCTATTATTAACGGTTTGATGATAACTCCAATCACGTGATGAATTCTTTAAAGATTCAACACATTCGAATCACCGAAGATGGCTTCGGAAGTCAAATTCATGTACTAATTTTGACTGTGATTTTTAGTTAGAATTCACGCACGCTGGCAACCATGGTGTGATTCTTTAGAATTTTAGATGTAGGTAGTTTACATGTTCATTTTTTTTATACTAATGGTGAAGAAGTCAAAGGACAAGCAAGGGCTTTGGCTTCCATTGATAAAATGATTTAATTATCTTTGAGCCCCTCTTAAAAATAAGTAATGTGATTTATTCATTGCCACGCATTGATTTTGAAGAGCTAACTATGGGACAAACAACAACTTTTCATTCTCCATTGTTAGGCTAAAAGAGCTAGTGTTACAGTAAACCAAAATAAAAACAATATCCCACCAATAATATCAACATTAAATCATCATTTACATCAAATACATATACATATATATATATATATATATTCCTTTTTTTAAAGACACAAGGTAGAAAATAATTGTGAATCCTATGCCTCTGTCCTGCCAAAAACAACAGCTAGTTCCAAAATCAGACTGAGTTAACAAGGTTGAAGAGAGAATACCTCACCTGCATGCACCAAAGCTTTCACTGGCTCTTTGGTTTTTGTATCTTGACATAAGGAAAAACACCCAAAAAGTGGACGACTTTCGGGTTCCATTCTCGTTGCTGAGCGCGACAAAACATCAGGAACGTGTTGGCAAAATACGAATTGAAGCCCATGAGGATGTGCCATAGAGCATGACCCTGAGGGTTGAAGTACCAATTAGATATCGCCTTGCAGAACACCCTGTCAGATAGCCAACAAAGACTAGCGAGGAACAGAGTTGCTACATATAACTTTGCGAGTCGCTTTGCAGAGACGTCCTTAGTGTAGATGTAGTATTTGTACATGCGAGGGATGCAGATAAGGCAGAGAATGACATAATGCACCTTGAAGCCAAATCCAAAGCGGAAGATGGCATGGGCCACTGCATACAAAACTCCATAAAAAAACAGGAAAGTAGGCATTGTACTCCGATAGTGCCAATCGGGTGAGTAGAGGATGTAAAAATATAGAAGCATTTCCCACACCATTGGTGTTTCATCACCTTGCTGTTGCCTGAAATAAGTTGAAAAAATTACATTTCAAATCAACTTGGCAAGTACATAACATGAGCAATGATTTCTCAAGTTCACTTTCCATAGGTGTCAGTTTTCCAACAGGAGTAAAAGCTTTAAGCCAAAACAATAAAAAAAAGACGAGGGAAAAGAAATTGTTTATTTGCTGACATAAATTCATGCCAACAGAATATTAATTGGCCTAGCTACCTAGCAGCAATCATTCCCGAGCACAATGAACTTACAAACAACAAGACAATGTGTCTACAGGATCTGGACATTTAAAACCAATGTAAGATAAACCCTCTATTTTGCAACTTAATACATGATTAATAGAAAGTTAAAAAATTAACATTATTAGTTAGCACATTCGATTTGATTTTATATTATCCACATAACCCATTCAAGTTAATGCAACATATTAAGCGTTGGTCCAATACATCTACTTGAAAAGATGTGCTAAAGGAACCATAGAACAAAGGGAGAAAGGAGTTAAAAGAAGCTTTATGCAAATTTCTTTTACTTAGGAGACAGTAGTTAAACATTTCTACCGAATTCCAAAAGTACACAAGTGTGATAAGAGAAAAGAACATTTATTACTATTATTATTTTTGTTTGGGGTTTGAGGGGAGAGGTATCAGCTGACTGTTGTTTTTGTTAGTTGTGGTATCAGCAGGCTGTTGAAAGTAAAGCAACTAAGTCCAAAAACCAATGAAATAAATACAGAAGATCTTTCAAACAGACACACGGTAACAATATTTTCTAAAATTGAATCTCTGTTGGAGACGTTCATCTAATATCTGAAGGTTTGGGGGGAATGATAATGGAAGTGCAAGTAAAAAAAATACTTACATGTGCTGTAATGTGGCATGGTATATCATGCTCCCAATGGCAAGTATCATGTTAGATATGTGAAGGACACTAAACCTCTTCTCAAAGCGTTGTCTCAAGGCATTTACAAGGCCAATGAGTGCCAAAAGAATGCCTGGGACATTGGATATTGTGTTAAAAAACTCAGCAATGTAAGACGAGTGAGCATAGTTTTTCTCACACCAGTCAGTGGATGTGACAGGACCCCAAAAGCTTGATAATCCATCTTCCATTTAGTACCGAGTATGCCAAAAATATACGATTGTTCAACTGAGGCACCTTTTGCAAAAATGTTGCGCAACTGTCACAAACCTGCAATTAATGTCACACAGAACTGAGATAATGAGATCACATAAAATGACAAAAAATATAAACAAGAACCATGTCTAGTTGACGGATGTCCTTTTATTCAATACAAGAGAAAAAAAGATGTTAACTAAAAGACAAATATCATAATACCATTAAACTACAACATATGCCCACCAATTGAGAGGGACACATAAAGTGACCCTTTTACTAGCTAGTAAAATGAATAAGGGCCCTTGTGCAACCCAACATAGCCATGAAGTGAAAAAATAAGAAAAAAAAATCAAATCAGGTGATATTCTGGCCTTCAGTTTCATAAGAACAGTGTTGTCAGCAACTTTCAACTAAAGGTAAAATCTTTAACATCAGCTTCTGAGGCGGAACTCCGCATTAAGGAACTTGCAAAATCTTTTATGCCAGCTATATTCTGGATTCTCTGTATCTGATGCAATCTTAATGTTATTCCAGTGTTTCACCCCCTTTTAAACTTATTAAACGGCAGTCTCCTTTGTTTCAAAGAGAACGCCAGCACACTTGCATCCAAATATAGGTTTAGATCTAGAGAATAAGTCAAAAAAAGCAACCCCAGGATAATTACCTGGAATCCAAGTAAAAGTCCATATAAAACCTACTTGCCCCATCGTAATTTCCGATTTTCAATAAGATATCTATTTTAAATTAGTTTCTAGCTGTCAATCTCTATTTATGTCCACTGATCTCTCTGCAAGAAGAGACTACTTCATACTCCAGAACAGTTCTGAACTAAAGATAAAACTAGTTAATCACACATGATATAAACTATAGAATTTATATTCTACAGATGATATAAGCTATAAAATCATTATACTCACACATCCCATCTGACATTGGTCTCCAATATGGAAAGACATCATGCAGAAATAAGCTACATATCACATAGAAGTTGATATAAACAATTCAGCCATAAACAGACTTCTATAAACCCCATAAGAACACCAATCTTATCAATCCCCGATAAACTATGGACACCACATCAGCATCTTACTCTAGTTCAAGCGTTCCAAAGTGAATGCTGAGATAGAGGCACTAGTTAGGATCACTACCTATTCTAAAAATTAACTCATAGAATAGACTGCATTAAACCTATAGCAAATAAAGAAAAATAGGTAATTATCTAATAAATCCAATTACTGATCGAAATCCCATTTCATCGCTTTAGAACCTCCCTTATACCCATTTTGCCTAAAGAATCTGGTCAATGATATATTCTTAAAGATCCAGCACTTCAAATTCCATTCAATCTTCAACCAAAGCCTAGACCCTAAATTCAAAATTGGCCTCAGCATACTGAATATCTCATAGGGGACCCCCCAAAATCCAAATTAATACTCAAGAAAAATAACCTACAATTATAGCACTTAAATTCCCTATTTAAACAACATGGCATTGTCCATCAACTAGTTCCTTCCTGATTCATTTTTCCATCATTAAAAGATCAAAGTTTGGCAGCAAATTAATATAGATAAATTATAAATTTGAGGAAATAAAAACATCATAGTGTACTATCCTTAAAAACCCATCAACAAAAAACAAACATCCCATTGAAATTTGACCTTATCCTTTAAAACCCGTTCTAAAAATGTAAATCTAACGGATATTCAATAACAGAATTGCCCATATTTTACCATAAAAATTAAAACAAAATACATAAAAAGTAGAAAACGCCTGAAAGGAACTTGAATTAGAAACTAACCTTTTATAACAAATCAGATCTTGGGGTTTCAACGAAGCTAATTAAACTACACTCTTTCACTTTTTATTTATTTATTTAGGTTTATATAGGGTTATTTTCGTTTTATACTTTGAAAAAAAGGAAAATTTAAAAAAAAATAAAAAGAAAAGGTTCTCGAGATGGGAAAATGGGAAGAATATTTACGGGGAAGACGATTTGTGGACGTTATTGATGGACGGTTGAGATTCTTTACTTTGGGAAGTGGAGATCGTACGGTCCGTCATGATTTCGATTTGATTGATGAGTTTCTTGCCTGGGTTGGCATTTTCTTTAGATTCATCGTCTAACTAATCACCCTTTTTATGTTAATAATGCTAAGTTTGGATTATGAGTTATTATTATGTATTTTTTACTTTTATTTTCTTTTTTGTTGAAAATATTTTTACTTTTATTATTAATAAGTTTTGGTTATTATAACAAATAAGTATTTAAAATACCATTTTCTCAAAATAAGCACTTAAAATTATTATTATTTTATCAAAATAGATATTTAAAGTACTTTGTCAAAATAGGTACCTAAAATAATGTCACATGTCAATTTTTTAGAACTTAGATGAACAAGATTGAATAATTTATATACTTATTTTGATTAAAAAATATTTAAATAAAAAAAGATATACTTTTATTTAAGATACAAGCCATAAGTTTTTTATTATTAGTAAGGGTAAGTATTCAATCAAGTTAAGTTGAATCAAGTAAAAAATAAGTTAGTTAAATTGATAAGTACTATTTAATCATTCAAATTTTATTTGAAATATTTTGAGTCTCATGTCTAACTTTAGTAATTAATAGAGTTGTGCAAAAAAAATCAATTAATCGAAAATCGATCTAAATTGAAGTGTTTAGACAATTTATAGACCATAAATTTAAAAATTACATATATTTCAGATTCAATGTGAATTTATTTAATTTATAATTAGTTTTAATTATTTTATAATATAAAAATAAGTCTTTTATATTTTAAAACCAATAAAATAACTTAAAATATTATATATTAATAATTATTTTTAACTAGTTAAAAAGATTAATTTTTTAAAAAAATTAAACTCTATCAAATAATATTTGAAATCCATAAAATAAAATTATTTTATAGAAATAAAATATAAAATATCAACCCTCAAAATTAATAAACAAAAATAAAAAATTGAGGTTAATCGAATAAAAAATCATCAAACAATTAAAAAATAAAAAAAATAAAACGGAGTCCAATCATATTGTAACCCCCACAGAACGATAAGGGTAACCAGATCCGATCCGAGGTGTCAGATTTGGCCACCGGAGCGACCCACTGTAAAAATAGCGGAAAATTTAAAACTTTTATTGAAACGTGTAACTTATAAAATAAGTTGTCACTATTTAAAAATAAAACAAATTTCCAGACTCGTATATAAATCAAAATACAATTACATGCCCCCTAATCACATGTACCATACTCTACAACAACGCCGGAAGAACTCCCTTACTGAAGTCGATAGATGCACTGGTACAATTCTTTTAACCTGAAAAAGGTAAGTAATAGAGTGAGCTTTGGAAAGCTCAGTAATACAGAACTACCAGATGATGCTGATGAACGTGCAGATAGAGATAAATATATATTTCCTTATTATTTCCGAACATTTACAGATTTTTATGCTGAGCAGAGATCCTACTGATATTTCAGGTGGTAACGGACAATGAGCTTTCAGTTCAGAGAAATATTTCGGATGACTGAGTTCAGGAGATCAGAATAGGTTATCTAGTGTGTTCCCATAAAACCAGTAAAAATATATTGATCTTTTAAAACATATAAATATATATATATATACCCCCATCCAATAAGTCCAAATTGTGTAGGTTCCCCAGAACCATACACCCACCATCAAGTCTAGTAGGCCCTGAGCACACAGCCGAGGAACCGGTAAATAAGGCCCTGAGTACACAGCCGAGGAGTCTCCAGGTATACTTCCTCCAACATTACCCCCCAAGTAAATATGTTCGTCCGTAAACGGATATATCAAAAATCAAAACATAAATCAGGTCAAGTATCATATCAAACTCCAGGTCAAGTATCAGATCAGAATCCAAGTCAAGTATAAGATCAGAATCTATGTCAGATATCATATCAGAATCCATGTCAAGTATCATATCAGAATTCAAATCGAAAATCAGATAAAATATTCATGTGAGTAGGGAACACACCAGAATTTACAGATAGTATTCAAAGATATTGGATAATCTTAACAAGTAGAGAAATATGGATCTTCAGTATACCGATAGAATATCGGAATTCAGAATCACTATTGGAAGAGTTCAATGACTGACAGAATCATCAGTTATTCAGAATGTGACTTGAGCTGATAAGGAAGAAATGAAGCTTCAGGATATTTGTATTCTATGTCGATTGATCGGATTATCAGACAACTCTTAGATGAATAGTTCCCAGAATTAATACCTGTCAATTGGTCAATTCATTGTTCTTCCAGGGTATTTACTCTTTAATACCACAATTCTTGTCCATAGACCATTTTCGGAATCATCGTTGAATAAATCTTCCAATGTCTTTATTTCATTTCCACACTTCCACAATATCATGAAATGCTTACGTACTTGATTAATTTGTTCATAACCCATTGTAATTGTACACTACGTAAACTCATCAGAGTTTCCAGACTTATCCAAATCACTTACTAAATCCTCAGTCATTGAGGTTACCTATTTTATTTAGCAGTCATCTCCATTCTAGTTACTTCAGGATTTTCCAGAGTAATTCAAACGTTCCTGAATTTCATATACATGTTGTACTTCCATTCCATTCAATTTGGTCTTCGTGGTTGATTTGTCGAACAAACGTCCAATTCTTAGTACTGAATACGATCTGAGCTGAGCTGAATACTTCCAAAATTTATCATCGAGCCAAACTTGAGAAGACGAACACATGTTCCAGTAATATCTATGCAATTCAGGAATTGACATAGCTTTAGGGTTGATCTACTCACTTAAATTGTTTTCCATTACATTTAAAGGTAGTCCAATACCTATGCTTACTTGGATTCCTTAATTAATTCAAGACATTTACTTAGTATAGACCATAAGGTTATTTTGTAAATTTTGGTATTCAGTTTTATTCCATTCATTTCAGAGCTCGAGGATATCCAATCATTTATGAGCTTGACGATATTCTTGGGTCATTTCCATTACAGGGGTATTTTGGTCATTTTACAGATCTACGGTATTTCAATCTTTTCCTTCCATCCGGTCTTATTATTTAATTCAATCTTATCATTTACTTTAGTCCTTTCGAACAATTCTGACAGCAGAATACCCCCGATAAATTATTCTTCAACTATTTACTCATTATTCGGATATTTTCGGGTCAAGTGTCTTCTCAGATTTTACAAACGGAATATCATGAATTTTATGTACAAAGACAGGATCTTAAAAATTAAATTCTTACTTAATCGAGTTAAGTACAAATCCTCAAAGTACTTTCTCATTCAAGGTCAATTCAGACTATTTTATCTCTCAAGGGCATTTTTGTAATTTCTTAACCTGATAATTTCGATATTAGCTCTTAACGAAAATAATATAATATAGAGATCCTATGATTAATTGCTTCCTCGAACATTCTTTGATCTTGAAATGATTCCTTAAAAGACTTCTAGTATCTAACATAAACCTTCTTGGGGTTAAAAACCGGTTATCCATAATTTCCAAGTAAAACTAACATTTCTTATGCACATCAATAGTTTTAGCAGATCAATAATTCTTTTCAGATTTATTAATCCACTTCCAGAGATAATTCTTGTCATTTTCCAACATAAGGGTAATTTAGTAATTTTACCTAATCGAAATATTCTCATAATTTATCATCTAAGTACCTTTAATGAGATAAATTATAATATACAATCCATGGTTGATTCTTTTATCACTTAATTCCAGAACTTGTAATTTAATTCCAACTGTCCTCTAATTTCTTATAATAGTCATCTGAGCCATATTCAGTTATCTACTTTCTACCGTATTCGTATCTAGTATAGATCTTCATTAATTACACATATGAGACCAAACATTTCCATTCATGCATTTACCAATACCAACATGTTCTATAAAGCATAAAGAGGTAGTAAAGTATTACCTCGATTTCCGTACAATACTGATTGACCATAAAAATTCCATTCGAACGCCTTTGATCTTCAATTCAACTTCCAATAATTCCTCAGATACATATCAACATAAATTATCAGAAACGGAGCTTAATTGCGATAAACGGATCGAATCGAGTGATAAATCAGTGAAAGACGGCTTACCGGGTTCGAATTTGGTGAAACGGACTTCGGATTCGGATTCAGGACGTTGAAAGCATAAAATATAACATTTCGGAAATTTGAAATTTTTGGTCAAAATTAAAGTCAACGGGTTTGACCGGCAATTTCGAGGCCTTCGAGTTCGAATTTTGAAAAACGGACAGCGGAATCGGATTTGGAACGTCGAAAAATGTCAGGATAGGTATACTCGGTCGAAGTCAAAGGTCTTTTAATGACCGGTCAAAGCCGATCAAAGTTTTGGCCAACAGTGGTCAACGCCGGTCAACGGGTCGGGTCAACGGGTCGGGTCAACAGGTTGGGTCGGGTTATGACCGGTCAAACCGGTCAACTATGCACCAAAACCGGTCAAACCGGTCATTTGGATCATCCCCACGCGCAGTGGCGGTGAGTCGGCTGCCTAAAAATCACGGAAAAATTCTTAAAAATTATTTTGAGCGATTTAAGATACTTACAAAGCTCGGTTCAAATTTTTGAACGGCGGAGAGCTCGATTTCAACGAATCGGAAACTTTGACCGCTTCACCTCCTCACGCGCCGCCTTCGACGGAGACCAAGAATGACACCGGCGAACTCGGAACGATGCAACGAACACGATGGTGCGGGAGGTGTCGTAAATGGATGACCCGATCGTCATGAATCGATGAAAAACCAACTAAAACCGAGTTATTACCGACTATACTTCCGACTGAAATTAACGACGAACGGCGACGATTCACGACAAAAGGTTTGAGGGGTTTTGTTCCTCGCTCGAC